CAACGCAAAGAAGAAACGTTACCGTTTGATAACATTAATGGGGTCTTCGTTAGTCAAAGCAGCTATTGATAGAACAATATCATTCTTCTCAAATCCGGCTTTGTATTTATCAGCGGTTGAAAATTTTATTGGTGATTTTATGTCATGTCTTCCCTCCACAGATGAAACGAATTCTCCTCAAATATCCATCGATAAGAAAGTTTTAATTGAAGATATGCTGAAACGAACCCGTATTGAAGTCGATTTTGAAACTATTAATAGAGCTTCTTTTATGGAATCAATACCATCACGTTATCGCAATGAAGAAACTATGCTGACTGGTACAATTATTATCGTCTTCTGTTTATTTTATCAATAAATAGAACAAAGTCACTGCGAATTAAAAGCTCAAAGGTTAGATAAACTACGATCGGTCAGTTCGAAATTTGACATTATAAATATAAATAACAATGAAGTTCAACATCTGAGTTTTAAAAACTTGTGAGACGGGTGTTTTTATTCGATTTCCTTTTACCTATATAATCTAGGCTATATACTCTGGTGATCGTGAAAGTTTGATTAAACCCATTTTTGTTTGAACTTTTTCGACCCTTTTATAGCGAAATTCATTCTTATGGTCTATATCAACGTTCTCATTGACGCCATAAGAACTAGTGGTTGCACTATACACCACGTCTTGCATAGTGCAACCACTGGTTCTTATGGCGTCAATGTGGCAATATGTAACAAGCTTTAGCGAAACTATACTATTTATTGAGCTGAAAATATCAGAATTAGATTCAGCATGTCTCAGCGCGTGGAATAAGCACAAAGCATATCAAAGAAGCCGCTTTCTGCGCTAATTAAAATTAAGTGCGCGTAGATCATAGAAAAGGCGCCTAGCATGAAAGATAATCATACTAATTAGCTGATTTTCTTTATGGAATGATTAATTCGAGATACACGCAAGTGAGTGAATCATATTTTAGTTGTACAATTTGTGGAAAAAAATGTAAGTAACTTTATCAAAAATCTGAGTCGACCAGACTATTCCTCATAATTTTCTGAGTACCAGGTAAAAATTTCCAAACTACCAAAGGTCTACCGGCTGAGATAATAGAGGTGCAATTTCCTAATGTATTAAGTTAACGGTGACCCGTGATATTTTCGAAATAACTTCTAATAGAAACAAGACAGAGACCTACGATTTACGCAAGACGCCTCTAGGCAGCATTATCTACTAGCTTAGAAACAATTGAACGGGAAAAATTACCTGCAGGTGGCGTACCCGTTGAAATTATTCTTGTCAAAAAACGCTTTCAGAGAACCTTTGCGATTTTTTCTCCGTCTGGTGGTTCAACAAATAGCTGATTTGTTGATTTTTCGAGGTTTTCTGAGGTTCAAACTCGAAAAACTTCCAAAATCTCTCCCTACAAACTGAGTGAAAAACCTAAACTTAATCATTTTTGGACCACTTAATAGACGTTTAGTAAAATACTTCTGTGTGTTTTCCGGAGTGTTTTTGATGCTCTATCTCATGGTGGAATCAATTTTACGCTTAAGTGCTGCCTAAATCCGTCAGACCGATTTTGGTGTCTCCCTACAATTTGTGCGGAAAACTTAATTCTCCAAAAAAATCTGTGCCAAAGTGCTGAAGCGAAATCGTAAATGATATGGATGGATAGAGAATTTTGCGCTTTACACGATCCACTGGTCTGCTTTTTCTTTATCATCTGTCTTTGATGTGAAAATCGCGTTTTTAGTCATGCTAGTCAAGATAAAAACGCGTTTTTCTGCTTTTTCATGCGTGTATCTCACTCATCTGAAAACATAGAATGCTCAAAATTATATCGGTAGTGAGAGTTGATGAGATGAGTAAAATAAAAAAAATTTTAGGAATCCGACAAACCACTACTGATTTATGGCACAAAACGGTACTCAACAACCAATTGTACAATTAATATACGATTCACTCATATCTCAGCGAATCTAAGCGCGTGTTTCAAGAAAGTCATGCATCGTTTCTATATATAAATTTAAAAGCGTGTTTAGGAATTTAGTTTAATGCATCGTATAGGTATTCTGAAAAAGTTCAAAAGCTTTTCCTACGAGTTCTTTATCATCATCATAGGACAATAAATGATTTGCTTCAGAAAATGATACAAGTCTAGCTTCAAAGTTTTCATTAATCATTTGTGTGTTCATTTCTCTTGACATTTCTTCATCTACCTGTGCCACATACCAAAAAATAAGTTTTTGATTGGTTATTACTGCTCCGATTTGACGAATTGAAATCGTAAATGGTTCACATGCATCACTGACTTTACGTGAAACATCCTGCACATGTTCACTATTAAATGTAGCTCGTGTTTGCATGGTTAACGGCATTAATGAACAATGATATCCTGTTTCTTCATATGTCTCACGCACAGCTGCTACTGAAAGTGTTTCATTAACATTTTTTCGTCCTTTTGGTAATAACCATTCTTCTCTGCCATCTAAACGATGTATAAGACAAACTTCACGTGTAGATTTTTGAATGAGAACTGTACCAGCACATAATACAAATTGATGTGAAAATAAATTCATTTTTCCAGAATATTTTTTATTCAGCAATAATTGATGCTTTATTTTTTCATTTTTGTCCTTTATCATTTCGTAAATATTATTAATTGATTCGTCTAACGTGTAGTCATCATTGTCGATAATACAATTTGCAATATCTTTAATTTTGTCTGCGCCACATGAACTTTTAACTAGATCTTTTGAATGAAGACTTTCGACGTTATCCCAAGAACGTTGCATACGTGTATCAAGAGAGGTATCGACATAGACAATTTGTAAAAGATCACCCAGACGAAGTTTTAGCGCTTGAGTAGACTCAAAGCGATGAAGACTTTCAATCGTAATAGCTGTTACCCAATAATGTCTACTAAGATAATGATCAAGTTGTTTTACTAATTCATCTGCTTGCTTTTGTTCTGGAAGTTGATAAACATCTGATCCAAGTGCATTCGATGCTAATTCCATAAAATATGCAATTTTAAGACGTATACATTTCAAACCGATTGATTTCAATTTACGGCATGTACCTTCAGCCAATGAACTTTTTCCCGATTTGGACATGCCACCAAATGCAATAACAACATCCAAATGTTCAAACATCGGATTAAAACGAGTAGTAGTTTCAATTTTAGGAATACAATATTGTTTAATAATTAAACGAATTTTATTTTGAACGTGTACAGCAGACATATCAGTAACATTAATTATGTCCGTATAATTATTATTATGTTCTTGAAATTCTAATTGTTTTTGTAATAATTTTTGATAGTTTTCCCAAAGATGATCATGTTCAAGTTCACGCATTTGTAGAGAATCTTCTGAGCCATGATCATGTTTAAGTAAGATACGAATATCTTCACGAGGAATTTTGATTTCAAATTTTTCTATAATAGAATTATAGATTTTCTCTGCTTCTTTTACATCACATTTGTCTTTACATGCAATAGTAGCAATACATACGGCTTCAAACATAATACCACCACAATTAAATGCAATAAAATTAGCATTATTTTTAGCTGAAATACCAGCACGTTTTCTCACCGCACGCATGATAACATTAATATGTTCTTCATGATTACTCTTTGTAAACCACCATTCCTTTAGACTATTTTTATTAACGATATCATTCATATAATCATCATAGTTGTGAATACCTGACCGTATGTCGATATCTTTAGGCATATATCTCAACATTGTTGTCTTTCCAACATTATTAGGTCCGTTGAGAGAAATGGTAAGAAGGTCAGTGTGATGTTCCACAATGTTGGAATCTCTACCACTCTTTGTCCAAGTTCCTGTTGTTTTGTACCGGTCCACATCCTCTTTACTGGTTGCCATAATAATAGTGCTAAAGAGAATGACAAAAGAAAAATTTTAATAGTTATACAATTAAACTCTATAATGATGTTAAAACAAAGCACACACAGCTTCGCGTGAACAAATGCTATAGTTAGCAAATATACATTACGCTCCTACGAGGGAATATTACCAACTGTCCCATTGTATTTTATTGAAAATCGTTGGCCTACGAGGGAACCTCTTGAGATTATAAATCGCTTTTTGATCGAAATTTAGTGGGTTATGGGTCATCGACCATGCTGATTTCGAATATGATTATGGGAGCTACCCATGGTCTTCGAAGATCCGTTTCTGAAAAAACAGTTTTTCAGAAACTCTAGAAAATGACCAAAACCTTTCTTAAAGAGACATAATTGTAGCCGGTAAATTTCTGGTTAAAATGAGACATCTCCCAGCTCTACACAACCTTTCTTTGCAAAGTTATAGAATTTACAAGAAAAGCCCTAAATCTCAAAGCTACAGAAATAAGAACAAATTAATTTAGGGCTTTTGATTGTAACTTTCTCTTAATAAATCACGATTGTAGCCCACGAAGTTCTGATCAAAATGAGACATCTCCCACCTCTACGCGGCTTTTCTTTGCAAAGTTATAGGATTTACGAGAAAAGCCCTGAATTAAGTTCTTTTTTCTGTGGCTCTGAGCATTTAGGGCTTCTCTTGTAAATTCTATAACTTTGCAAAGAAAGGCCATGCAGAGCTGGGAGATGTCTCATTTTGATCAGAAATTTGCGGGCTACAACTATATCTCCTTAAGAAAGGTTTTGGTTATTTTTTGGAGTTTCTAGAAAACTGTTTTTTCAGAAAATCGGATCTTCGGACGACCATGAGCAGCTTCGATAATCATATTCGGAATCAGCATGGTCGATAACAGCTAACCCACTAGATTTCGATCAAAAGGCGATTTATAACTTCGAGAGGTTCTCTCGTTACCTATTTTATGTATAAAAAGACAATTCGTCGTCGTCTGCTTATTGTTTTTACAGCGGACAACTATTCACGTCAACCCTATTTATAATGCTAAGATCAATCAAACTTCGTTATCCTCTAAAACGATGTGTCAATAGTTCTACCAAATCTGCGTTATAACGATCGTTTTCTTTTTACAAATAAATTCACATGTGACTAACTTTGTACTACCGTCATCTAGGATGTTTTATCACTTTTTATTAAAAATGACTCAAATGATTGCAGGAAAGTTAGTGAACGTATTAACTTTTTTTTAATTAGTATTGGCAACAAACAACAGAATTTAGTCTTGTATGTTTTCCTCGTTGACTCTCTATGACGTACAGCAGTTTGACCCTCACGTTTTTTTTCTTAACTTCTTTGAAATAGATATCGCAATCTAAAGAAAATGAATAGCAGAGAAAAACAAACGTCAAACCGTTTTAAATACATTTGGTGATGGCATGATGTCATAAAAGGAAATGTTTTCCTTTCTGTTTTCTCTTAACGGTGTTTTTATTCTTGACTTTTATGCTAACAGGCATAAAAAGGTTGAAAATTAACTTAATCATGTGTCTATGCAAAAAGCAGCAGCAAGTTTAGTTTGCTAGGAAGGGAAGGCTAAAGCATATCAGTATTTAAGAACAAATGATGTTTTTTGAAAACAGAAATACTTTTTTAAATCACCTTATCATGTATGATTCAAGTCGCTCTAGCACTCCAAGTACAAATTGAAAAATGAGTGCAAAAGAAATAATTTTTCTCTGTGACGGGACTCTGTCATATGATTAGACCAAAACGGTAAAACAGGTTTCTGAAAATGTCCTTCTGCTGCACTGGTTCCTGTGTGCGTGCGTAATCAGCTCAATTACAGTACAAAACCATCGTAACTACAAAGTGCACGTACGCTCACGTACTCAAATCGAAGTTTGTATTTAAGCTACAGAGAATATAACTTTAATAATAGAATCTTACCTCAAATAGCTTGATTTTAAGATTGTTCTTCAATTTAAAGTGTTACATACGATTCCCAGTTGGACAAAATTCCATCTTCATAAGCTTACATTTTTTATTTGATGATGTATGAAAAGAAGTCGACTGTTATTTTGCATCTGTTCTATATTTTATTACAGTGTTTTTAAGTGGACGGGGATAAGTAGTCAAATATATAGAAGAATAAACGAAAGAAAAAGAAACCATATCATATGGTAATGATGATCGTGTGAATATTCCAAAAGAATGAAGAAAAAAAAAACTTTACATGGGGATGATCTTATATTCCCACATAGAGAGGCTGTAAATAAGCCAAAAATTATTTCTAAACATGTGGCGTTGGAGAAATTAGTGTGATGAACATGAATCTATGATCTAACCTTTTTTTGAAAAAAGCTTGTCGGGTGCGTATGAAAACTTCGAAAACGCCCTCCAGTGGAGTTCTAAGTCCTGAAGAATTTTTCTAAAAATATTTTACAGCCATCTGAGAGAGGATATATTTCTGAAAAAACTGAAGCGTCGCACAGCTCTTCACGGTCTTTCATTGCAAAGTTACAGGCATCAGAAAATCCAAACAAATAGTATAATAACAAAATACCGCTAAAAATCGCCTAAAAAACAAGTAGAAGTACATTTCTCTGGATTTTCGATGCCTGTAACTTTGCAACGAACAATCGTGAGAAACTGTGCGACGCTTCATTTTTTTCAGAATTTTGTGCTCTTTCAGATGGCTGCATTGAAAATATTTTTAGAAAAATTCTTTAGGACTTAGGACTCCGCTGGAGGGTTTTTTCTTGAAAACCTTTTTTCTGAAATTTTGACACATACTGCATTTGATAGAGAATCTCAAGGGCTATCCAAATTACTATTCAGATTTGACCTGGCCACTCAGCTTCATCGAAAAATTGAAAAATACAAAAACTCTATAATTTTTTCCAGTACTGTATATAATACGTGATTTAAAATTCACAATCGGTTCGAAGTCAGTTTCCTGTTGAAGAAATACGGCTTATGGACAACGGCAATACACGAATTGATGAATAAGTATACCATGCAGCAGATGCACGATGCTGTAAATGATTATTCTGACGAAGAATCGAACCATATATAAACATTCCATCACGTCGGGTACACACTCGTTATTTAATAGTCCATATTTTTTGGTTGTTTTCCTTTTCACTTTTCTTTTTGTTATGTATGGCATACCATAACATGCATATTTGCTTTAGAAGTATATAAAGTCCGGTCTTTTTTATTTTGTATTGTTAATGTAAGGCGCTCCAAATTCAAAGATCAAGCACTATTTTTGAATTCATTTGTAAGATATATCACTCGAGTCGAGTGACTCGACGCAGAATTTGGCGCTGATCACGAATATCACCTTTAAAATTTGATTACTTTGCGTTTTCCCTGAGAAAACATAAAAATTCGAAAAAATCGCGATTTTTAGGCCAAAAACGTTGTTTTGGAAAACCGCTTTATAGCCTAGCCTGGTCGCACTACAGAACCTTCAAAGTCAATTATTCTTACTTGCCGTAAAAAACTGTATCTGCCGAAGTGCTTTTTACAATTTTGGTGAGTGCAAAAATCGCCCAAAATTCCTCGGGGTTCAGGGGATAGACACTACTCACCCACGTCCACGGCAATCGAATCAAGTCTTTTTCTGTAATAGATAGCGACTTAATTGTTTCGACATTCAACGCGCAAGAAAAAACTCTATAGATTCACGGATTTTTATTTCGAAATTCCAGTTTTTTGCAGAAATATGCCTTTTTTGCCGAAAAAACACAGTTTTCACCACAATCGGCCAAGTCATCAATGTATAGATCCACTATTTTCGCCTCGAAAGTTTTCAAACTCAAGTTC